GGCCAGGAATCAGACTGGTGCTGCAGTGACTGTGGCTTGCTTCATAGTGCTGCACATTAAACTGTTGCACACCAGGGAGGGCCTTTAAGGCAGTATTTTTATACATCAATGTGCTCTTTTAACTCACTAGTTGCTCAGAAATGGACCTGGAGCAGGGGGAGTTGACAGTAAGGCAGTATGAATATCATCGTTGGTGGAGCAGGCTGACCCGTGAAATGCTTTGTAGTTGCCCAGGTGAAAAGGCTGCATGACTGTCTTTGAATGAGCAGAGACACACTGCAGGTGTCCGGGAGCGTGGCCTCCCCTGGAAGGTCATATCTCTTGAGAAGAGTGTGGGGTGCACAGAGAATGCCGAGCTTGCTGGAACCAATGCTTGTGGGGGCTTCAGAGGGGACAGGTCAAACAATGGTGTGTCTCCAATTTTTGCACTGACCTCATTGAGGAACTGTTCTGTTTGTGCACCCAGCCACAAATTCACATTTTGAAAGCTTAACCCTCAAAGGTGATGGTATCCGGAGATGGGGACTTTGGGTGTCAGATCCTAACAGGTCAAGCGAGTCCTCTGAGTGGGATTAATAGCTGATAAAAGCAGCCTGGAGAGATCCCTTGACCTTCCAGCCAGGGAAGGACACAGCAGGAAGGTAGAAGCCGTGATCCAGAATGGGGAGAAGTGGGGCAGGCTCCTTGCCCTTGGGCTTCACACTTCCAGACGATACGAAATAAATGTTTATTGTTTATAAACTACCCAGTTGACAGTGGTTTGTTCTTGCAACCCAAATGGACCAAAACAGGCACAGATGCTGTTTTTCAGACTTGGGGCTCATTGTGGACTCTATGTTTATAAAAGCACACAGGTATCAGAGGTTTTAATGTAAAAACAATACTGAAATTTCACTTGCCATCTCCCTGGATGTAGTTTCCATTTATTTTGGGTTTCCATGTCTTCTCCACCGAGAGCAGACTTGTGCACAGAGATTGATATGCCGACAATAAAAGCAGAGTCTTTCTAAAACGGGGATCTCACTGCGCCAGGAGATGGTGCTTGTTCTTGATGGAAGTAAATCCAGATTCACGGCTAGCAGGGAGGAAGCAGGTCAGAAATTCAGAGTCGTAGGTCCCTGGCCCAGGCGGATGGGCTAGAACATGAACCATAAACCTCCATCACTTATCTTGGCAGATAGAAAATTGGAATTTCAGAGGAAAGTTTCGCATCAGGCCCTCACACCCAATAAATACTCACCCTCCATTCAGAGTTCCCAGCCACTCGCCCTGTCTGTCTAACGGGCGGCAGAGGTCGCTTAGCGAGAATCACGGGGCCTGGAATAAAATGGCAACTCCCTGCCACCTCTTCCTTTCCACACTCTTTTTTCTTCCTCTCTTCTTTTGTTCTGCCTGGCAACGCTTGAGTAACACTAACACAGATTGACTCAAGCATACTTCCCTTGTGCCAAGATTGTGAGATGCCAGAAGAAAGAGAATGAGAACACAAGTTCTTAAATAAATTCGAATCCTGATTCTGCCACCAGTTACGTGGCTTTGGGCAAAGCTGATTTCTCTTGGTGCTTCAGTTTCCTAATCAGTACAATAGGGATAAATGCCTGTCATGTCTGAGTAGGGATCGGACGAGATCACATACTGGGTTTGGTGACGTCAAGAAAAGGGTAGGCACTTACTGACATTTTTGGCTGTGGTAGTGGTGATTACACTGCAAGAACTGAGTTAAATAAAATGTCATCTCTCATCAGGGGCTTAAAACCTAGTGTGTGAGGTAAAAGACACAAAAAATTGAAGTGTCAGGCAATAATCAGTATGCTATATAGTCACTATGTTAAAACAGCACTAGGAGAGCTGTGATGGATTGGACAACTCCAGTCTTCCTAACAAGGCTCCATGGAGAATTGGGATTGATTCCTTCCTCCCCCTGAAGCTGAGAAAGTGACCCATGACCTGGTCTTTGGTCAATAGATGCAGTTGGAATAAACCTGGGCATCGTCCAAGAGGGAACCATCAGAAGCTCTGTGACTCCTTCTGATTTTCTTGGGATGCTCCCCTTGGAGATGAGGCCAGTGATATCACCTCTGGAGTTCCAGCCATGGGAGTGAGCCGTCTTGAACAGCCCAGTCAAGCCCCCAGATGCCTTCAGCTATCCCACTGCCCTGGCGATGCAAACGAACACCTAGTCAACTCACATAACCAATTCTTTTCATTTTTAAGCACCATGTTTTGGGTAGTTAGTTACAGTCAAAAATGATCCCAGTGGGAGCTTAGAAAAGAAGAATCCATTTCGAGTGTGGCTATCATGAACGGTTTCCCAAAAGACACAGGACTTGAGAATGTCTCAGGTGGGACAAGAACTGTGACCTGAGGCTCTGGGAGCCATGGTGAGTCATGCTAGAGACAGAAAAGGGTGAAGAAGACCTCGAGGCAGATGAGGCCGGCTGCACTCAGCACCTGGCACAAGGATGGTGGCTGTGCTGGGAGAAAAGGAGAGGATGGGGAAACAAAGATGAGAGGGTTGTTCAGGGTCAAATCGTGGCAGCTTTGGGGACAAGCTCACTTTGTTTCCAGGGAGGAAAACCCATTCCTGTTGTTCTGAATAAAGGAGCCCTATGGTAAGGGAAGCTGGACTCTGAGAATGCAAACTACACGGTAGCTGGCCTTCCCGGAAGAGAAGGAACTGCAGGTTGCTCCGGCTTCTCCCATTAGCTCCCTCTCACTCACACACAAAGTAAAACCCTGTGTCCTTTGTGGCCTATGAGGCCTATGGTGCTCCCACCCCAACGACCTCGTTTGCTGCCCCGCTCGTTATCTTTCAGCCCTCCCAGCCCACTTGCTATTATCTGAAGACCGAGTACCGTGGGTGTTTTTCTTTCGCGCCCTTGTTCCCTCAACTGGATTATTCATCCTCATGTCCCCATGTCTTTAGTCAGCTCTCTGTCATCTCCTCAGAGAGTCCTTCCTTGATGTCTAAGCAAAAATAGTTGTCTAGCCAATCTACTTGCCTGTCTGACTTTTCTTTTCGGCTCTTGTTTCTGCATTCATTCATGGAATATTGCATTAGTTATCTGCTCTGAAGGTATCCCTAGCCCAGTGCTTTTGTTAAGACATGGGTTGTTGTTGTTTTTTTTAAATAATAGTGTGTTTTTACATTATTTTGTGCCTTTTTCCATCTCAGTTGTAATCCCCGTGGACTTCCATCACCAAATCACCTGTGAGCCACCACCATAGTCCAGTGCACTCCCTCCCCCGACACCCTGTTTTTGATCCCATTCCCCACTCCACCCCCGAAAAATGGCTCTGGTATAAAGTTGTTCATTATTATTATTATTTCTCCCCCCTCCCCAGTCCTTTATACTTCTGCTATGAATGAAACCATTCAGTATTTTTCTTTTTCTTTCTGGCTTATTTCACTAGGCATGATCCCTTCTAGCTCCATCCATGTTGCTACAAAAGGCATGGGTTTATCTTTTTGATTGCTGAGTAATATTCCACTGTGTGTATGTACTACATCTTTTTAATCTAGTCATCTACTTTTGGGCATTTGGGCTGATTCCAAGGACATGAGTTTTTTGTTTGTTTGTTTGTTTTTTAGTTTTAGGTTCCTAACTCTACCCCCAGTCTCATAAACCTCATGAGTCCCCACCATCAGCATTCCCCACTAGAGTGACACATGTGTTACAAGCCAGGACCCTGTGTTGACACAAGTGGCTATCACCCAGTCCACACTGTACACTACAGATCCCTCTGGGTTTGGATAATGACATGTGTCCACCGTTATAGTATCACACAGTGTGTATTCATAGCTCTAAACACCCTCTGGGCTCCTTCCATTTCTCTCTCTTCTGCCTAGGCCCCCACAGCAACTTATCTCCCAACCACCTCCACAGGCTTGCCTTGCCCAGAACACCATGCAGTCGGAATCATGCAGTGTATTTCACATTAGTGTCTTTCACTTAGTAAAATACACTAAAGTTTCTCCCATGTCTTTTCATGGCCTAACAACTTTCCATGTCTTTTCATGACCTAACAACTCATTCTTTTCAGCAGTGAACAATATTCCGTCATCTGACCACAGTTCTACTTGTCCATTCACCTACTGACCAGCATTTTGGTTTCTTCCAAATTTTTGGCAATATGAATATGAATTGTGTCCGTGTGCAGGTCACAATCCTTGTGTGGATACAGTTGTCAGCTTTAAGCAAATATCAAAAAAACTTGATTACGGGATCATCTGGTAAGAGTACATTTAGTTTCATAAGAAATTGCTAAACTGTCCCCATTTATTTTTACTTCCCACTATGTAGCTCCATGAAAACAAGGATTTGTCTTATGCTTCGCATTGTCAGTCCCTGGCATGCAGGGAGTGCTCTACAGAAATGCAAGAAACCAATGAATAAGTAAGTGAATCTCAAGCAGTCCTAGGACTGCAAGATGTCTGGTTACTTTTGAGCAGCAAAGATCTGTAGAACTTCATTTTTATTCTCCTTTTGCATTCTCTGCTTCCTGTGATTTCCTTCCAGGCAATTCCTTCTCCATCTACTTAGCTTTTCTCTCACAGCTTCTGCTGACTCATCACCTAGCTTACTCACAGCCCTCCCCCAGGCACTCCGGCCTCTCCCTGTGCAGCTGTCCAACCTCAGCTCCCTCTGCCAACCTCTCAAGTTTCCCCCAACTTTTCCAGCTGAAATTCCAGAGACAGAACTTCTGATTGGGTCACCCATTCCCCATTTAGACAGAGACATTTCGCCCCATGCTGATTTAATCAGCCATGGCCACAGGCACAAAGCAAGGCCACCTAGAGGTGAAGAACTATTACTTCACTCCGGGGGTGCATGGGGCCAGGGCCTGAGGGCCAAGCTGAGTAATTCATACCTAGAGAGACTTCTGAGAATAGCAGTGATTGACCAGCTCTGTGTTTGCTGCTCGTGACTGCTCCATGAATAAAACAGTTTAATGAAAGAAGAGAACGATTCATGCCAGAGCAGTTAGGAACTGCGGTCATGGTCAAGGAGCTGGGGAAGACCCAAAGCAAGCCATTGGCAGTGAGAGTGAGGAAGGGGATCAGGTGCAAATGGGTCTTGAACCTGAACACGAGCCAAGCACTTGAGGCTGGAATTCAGCAGCCAGGCTGGATCTGGACACTTAAGTCTGGAAATTATAACATACTCGTCAAAACTGGGAAGTGCACAGATAGACATTTGGTTAAATCTTAGATGTAAAGAATAGATCAGAGAAGAAAATCCTGACAAGTGATCTAAATCAAAAATATTTATACAGATGAAGAGACATTCAGACTCCCAGTCCCGAAGAAAACAGGAAACAATTCCCTCTGCTCTCATCCTCGAACAAACAGTTTCCGAGGCTCCGGCATGGGTTCCTGTGCCTTTCCAAGCTCCCAGCTCCTTGGCTGAGTGTTTTCCCGCAGAAAGTAATGATACTTCATGGGAATCCACAATATTCTAAAAATACCTCAGCTGGGCTGCAGTGCCACATTTAGTGGAGACGCTGTCCCAGGAAGACCTCCTCGCCATTTTGCTTAGATCAGAGAGAGGATTAACTTTCATGTCTGTCTGAACCCATGCAAGACACTGCCGGTGGTCGCTTCCTGCCAGCATTCAATATTCACATCCAAGGGAAGGAGAAAGGCCAGACGAGGAACTGATAGCAATTTTTTTTTTCTCTCAGTGATTAAGATGAAAATGTACACCGTAGGATCCCGACATATTTGACTTGTATCCAGTTTTCTTGCCTCCCTAGAACTCCCTCTCCCGATGCACAAACACCTTCCCCTGGGCCCAAATTTTTTTTTTCACTTTCCCAAACATTAGCATAGCTATGAAGCCCCAAGCTTTTTGTCAGTGCCAGGTGTTGGAGCTAATTGTGGAAAGTTCTGTATTTATTAGGACTCCCGATGGCATGCAACCAAAACAGATCTGACTAATTTAAGTCCAAAGGGAGTTTGCTGGAAACGTGAGGGGTGGCCTGCCACATACAATGAACACATGAGGATCAGACCTCAGGGGAGAGAATGGAGGGGAGCTCCGGGTTGCTGGGGAGCACAGACCAGCACACTCTCATCAGAACGTTAGCAGCGGCTGATACCACAGAGTGCCTCTGTCCTGTGTCACTCACCATCCTCACAATGCTCATTTCTGGGTTGGGAACAGTTGCAGCAGGTTGGAGCTGCACCCACACTCAGACGTGGGCTCACTGACTTTGCAAAGCAGCATCCATTGGTGCTAAGCCTAGGTCTTTGGCGCTAGACCACCTGGATTTGAATCCTGCCTCTGCCACTTCTAGTCATGTGTTCTCGAGCAATTCATTCTGTGCCTAGCCCCCAGCTGTCACCTCTGAAACTGGGGATACCTGCCCATGGGCATTGGCGAGAAATGGGTAAACCTAGGAATATGACTGGCAATGGGGGTGGGTCCCATCTTGAATATTAATATTAAAAGAAATGAACAAGCCCCTCATTGACAATCCAACCAAGAATGTCAAAACAAGAGCTCATTCTCTAGAAAGAATCAGGAGTTCTTCCTAGACAAGGCTGAGTGGCCAGAAAGCAATTAAGATCCACCGCCACTTCTTATTCCTCTGCTGGACTGTAGCTGGACGACAGCCTCAGCTGTCAATTCACTGCTGTCCCACCAGCACCCAAAAGTGCAGGCGCACAGTCTCACTCAGTGAACGGTGCAGGATCCACAAATGTTGACTGCTTCCTTTTTGTGTTCCCAATCAACTGGTACAGAGCTTTGCCTGGAGCAAGAACACAATAAGCATTTGCTGATTGAATTTACAGGTCAGTGAGATTCTCAAAAAAGGGAGCATACTGGAATCAGAGATGAACTTGCATTGGTAGGGCTCAGTGGCATGGTAGAGGTCTATCGCCAGCAACTTTTTGGTGTGATGCTGCGAATAACGCAGCCCCTGCCATTCGCATAGGTTATTGTATATGTATAGCTTGTAGCTGGACTCTGGTGGAGCTAGAATCTTTGAATCAGCACGAGGGCACTGAGAAAACAGCAGTTCTTTACCACGAGTGTCCTGTCACTGCTTCAGAGGCTCTGCTGGGACCTTCTCGGGCCAGTGCATTCTCCTGGCAGCCCTTGAGGGCTGGGGGTGTAGGGGCTCAGCCTGCCAAGTTTGCTCCTGGAGACAAGATGTCAAGGAGGCGGTGAGATTAAGGGTCACAAGAGTTAGCCCCTGGATCTGGCTCAGTCAATGTGCTTGGTTCTCAGCAACCCTGTCTATAGAATAGGGTTGATCTGCAGTTCCTGATGGAGTTAGGCAAGTGAAATTGCATCCATGATGATTCCATCTTAAGTCTTTCTATTGTGAAAGGCAAAACCCAACTCAAACTGGCTTCAGGGAATCAGGGACTTACTTGATCATTTCTTGTCACTGAGAAGTCTAGGGTAGATCCCCTTTCAGGCACAGCTGGCTTCGGGGACTCAAATGTAACATTGGGATCTGGTTCTCTCCATTTCTGAGCTCTCCTTCGCCAGATGGTCCTCAGTCCCTAAGGAGTGGTCCTCAGTGATGCCTAAGTCATTCCCTCAAGTTCAGATCCAGCCCTGGAGTAGCCTACGGTTGGCCCAATTTGAGTCAGATGACCAGGAGTGTGCAACAAAAGTGGGTGATCGATCCCAACGGGATTATAGGGTTTATGGAGCTGAGGAGCTGAGGAAAGTAAGGGTTGGGGTCGGGGGAAAGCCCCAACTTACCTCATGGAGGTGAGCGAGACAAGAATGGTTCTCCGAGATACCTGGGGTGCTATTACCAGAACAAAAAGGAAAGTGGAAAGTGGATGCTGGGGTGCAGAATGACAAATGTGCCCATGCCTGGGTATTTTATATCACGTGGTATAAAGCCTGCTACAGCTTCTCTCTTGCTACGAAGGCTTCCTGTCTGCGCCCTGATCAGCTCCCGACAATGCCTGTAGATAAGCTGCTTCAGCAGTCGGAAACTTCTGTAGCAGGCATTACTCATCAGCACCAGCTGTGCGGGTCATTAGTTACCTTGTTATGTATATGTCCTGTCACTTCATCGATGTGGCAGGATCCTGGAGAGCAAGGGTCACATCTTATTCATCTGTGTGTCCCCGGGAGTACTTTGCCTGATGCTTGGGGAATGGCAGCTAGTCCGTAAATCTGCTGACAGATCGAACAACTGATTTATATGCTCCCAGAACCACAAAGGTAGATGCTCACTTGATTCAACTACACAATTACAATGGAAGAGGAAGGGGGCCCTCTACACTTTCTGAGAGACTGTACATCTTTCTTGGACTAAATAATGCTGTGGGGGTCAAGATGAATAATCTCGTTGCTCCCAGCCCCTGGCTACTGATATCAGTCTTCTTTAGGGTAATAATTGAATAAAGGTCCATGGGAATCTTAGTCCTAGCTGCCCAGTACCCCTGGGCAGGTCTAGGTGGGCAACCCCCCCCTCCCGGGAGTGTGGAGGATGGCAATGGAGGGAAGAGGAAACTCAAATCTGTCCTCAGTGGGCCACAGGCACTGAGGCAGAGCCTAACTCCCTTCAGCGGCCCCTGTGCTGTGTCTCTTCTGCCCTGATCGACATCATGAGTCCTAGCGCTGACATCCAGCAAAGGGAAAAGGGGAGAGGAGGTGATGGAAAACAGAGTCAGGGAGATCAACTTATAGCATGGATGTTGCAACTGCATTACCTCAAGACTGTGCTGGCCCAGGAGAGCTTGTGTGTCAGGTTTCAAAACCCCTGCGGGCCATACTAGGTCAGGCAATTTGCAGCTTGGTCTCTTGTTCCTCCGAACCCGCTTTTTTTTTTTTTTTAAAGATTTATTTATTTATGCATACAGAACTGGGGTACAGGCCAGAGGCTCAGGGGCGGTGAGAGGATTCACCAGAGACAGAGTGGGGAGCAGAACAGGCAGATCGACGAAGTACACTGCTGAGGGGAGCAGCGGGCAAGCGAGAGGCCTGGTGCTCCATGTGGGTCAGCTCCCGGACTGGGGATCGAACTCATGCTGAAGCAGCTCTGGGTAGCTTCATAGTGCTGTGCCTTAACCCATGTCGCCACCAATGAGGGCGGCCTAAGCCGCCTTGAGGAAGCCAAGTGACTTATCCAAAACTACCAGCCGAGCTGGATTTTCCTCACCTGTAAAATGGGCCAACTGATAAGAGGCTTAAATGGCCAGGCCATAAAGAACATCTGGCTTGTGGCAAGCACTAAAACGAAATTATTGGGGGGGTAAAAACCAAGACAGTGGTTGGTAAATAAGGAACTAGGAAGAGATCTGGAGAGCCGTGTTGGGAGCTGCGGAGGGAGGAAGCTGGTCGAGGGCAGAACAGGGAGCCAACATAGCAAGTACAGAATACAAAACAACAAAAAATCCACCCCAAATTGCCGCGGGAGATCTGACAGCGCGCGGGGAAGGTGGGTCTCCGAGGCCACACCCCTTCCCGACTCCACCCAGACACAGGCCCCGCCCACGGCCCTCTACGCGCCACCCTAAGCCCCGCCCCGCCTCCTCGCCCCGCCCCCGGTCCCGGAAGCGAAAGCCGCTCCTCCTCTTCCGAGCCGGGTCACGACCCGGTAGGCGGGAGCGGGGAGTCCGAGAGGGCCGAGCGCTGCAGGGGTCAAGCTGCCCCAACCCGGCGCCATGTCCCGGAACCTGCGCACCGCTCTTATTTTCGGCGGCTTCGTCTCCCTGATCGGCGCCGCCTTCTATCCCATCTACTTCCGGCCCCTAATGCTGCGGGAGGAGTACCGTGAGTGACCTCTGACCCCCGCGGTGGTCTGGCCCAGTTACTTCCTCTCCCCGCGCGTCCCTAGTCCCCGCCACGTGGGACGCTCGGGCTTGATGCCCGAGCACGGCTGCATCCGCGCATGGGAGCCCGCTCTGTGCCGTCCGTGCCTGCGGACAAGTGACTCAACGGCTCGGCCCCGCGGCATGATCATTAATAAATACCTATTCCTTTAACATCTAAAATGAAACAAACCCGGGAGACTCAAAGGTGGTGGCGACACGCACATTGTAGGTCCACACTAAACACTAACTCATAGTTAACGTTCACAGAACACTAGTTATGTGACAGGTCAGGTATGCTTGTTTTGTTTTGTTTTTTCTTTAAGATTTAGTTCTTTATGCATACAGAACTGGGGTACAGGTGCAGGAGAGGTGAGAGGATTCACCAAGACAGAATGGGGAGCAGAACAGGCAGATCGACGAAGTACACTGCGGGCGGCCAGGAGAAGTTTGCCACACCTTGTGGGTCACTTATGGGGTGGGGGTGGGGGGTTACCTCCCGGGTGCTGAGTCTTAACCTGCTGCACTACCAGGGAGGGCCCATGCTTGGGTTTTTACCTCCTTGTTTTTGAGGTCGTTATTACCCATTTTACGACAGATGGGGAGACTGAGGCCCAGAGAGATTATATAACATTCCCCAGGCCACACAGCTAGTAAGTGGCAGTGTGTATCTTCCAACCCAGACCTCTTTTCCAGAGTTTCTTCTGCACCTGTGAAGGGTGATACTTGGGGAAGGGAGGGAGGTGGGTCCCTAATCATCCTGAGTCTGAAGATATTTTATTGCATTTCACTTCCACTCCCAGAGATGTCTTTGAGTGAAAATGTTTCAAACCTAAACTGTTAATCAGGGTTTTGGCGTGTTCCCTCTCCTTTCTTTTCAAACCTTTTTTTTTTTTTTTTTCAGATTCTACTATTTTCCTTTATTTTAATCTGGTTGCTCACATGACAATGGCAAATGCCCTGGGAGTGATTTTCCTCCTTAATCATTCAAGTCCTATCATTCTAAAAGCCAAACTCTCCTTCCTTGAGACCTATACCTCAGCGAGGATTACCACTTTGATACATCTGAAACCATCTGTCAGAGAGAAAATATTAGGCATTAGAGGCTCATTTTGTTCTCCAGGAAACCTGAATCATCTTGAAGATGGAAGCGGGCCAGCCCTGCCCCTTGAGAATACCCATGCGGGTTGAAAGCTTGGCGATTTGAAGGCTAAAGCTCTGTGTAAATGCTCTGCCCATTACGAATGCTACAACATTTGGTTTCTGGAGGCAGAGCATTTTAAGTACACACTCAAATTTCCCTGTAGCTGCTTTTCATCAGCCAGAATTGAAATGGCCTCTGTACATTCTGCCTATGTTTGTGCACCTTGTGCAGGGGTAACAGGGCCTTGTGAAGTCCTGCATAATCTGTTTCCATCCTCCTTCCTTACTGAGTCCTTGCCACACCCTATCTTATTACGCCCTCTAGAGTTGAACTTGGGAGGAGGGGGTTCTGCTTTGGCACCTACTAAAAAAGTGAGAATTTAGAGCTGTGACTCCCAGCTAGGGATGTGAAACCCCAGGCAACTTTTGGTTCTTTATCTTGTCACAGCTGGGCATGGGGTAGGATGGTGAGCGTGTTACCGGCATCTAGTGGCTGGAGACCAGGAGTGCTGTAAACTTTGTGCAAGGCACAGAACAGTTCCCCGTGACAAAAAACTAACCCAGGATATGAAATGGTTCAAGGTTGAGAAACCCTGTTCTTGATGGGCTGGTTAAGAGGGTGGGTTTGTGCTATAACCCAACACAGTCTTGTGGGGATACTCAGAATCTGGTTGTCAGGGTCCCTGAGACAGACGACAAATCAGGCATTTTCAGGAAACATTTAGTTCGTGTGAAACCACATTTGCATTTTTTAACTATAAGGCAGTCTATGCCTTACGACTTTTCTAGTTCAATTCACTTTCCTAATTTAATTTGACCAACTCTTATCTACAAGTCATAACTGATTCTTTAAACAGACAAATACTACTAAGTAGCTAGTATTTACTGCAGGTTTACTCTCTGCCTGGCACTCCCTCTAGTAGTGCATATAATATACTGCTGCATTCAGTTCTCATAAGAATCCTTTGTGTCATCATGCCTGTTTTATATGCGTAAACAGAGGTATGAAAACTGTCGAGTAACTTGTACGAGGATACATAGCTGATGAGTGAGAGAACTGGGATTTGAACTAATGTCCATAATCACCACAACATGGTGTCTTATGCCTCTCTGAGGGGGTAATGCAGAGGAAGTAGACAGGTGAGGGTCTAAATCCTTTGCTAGATGAGGACTAAGCTAGATAAGGACTTAACTTCTCTAAACCACCTTTTCCTATCTATGACTTTGAAATTGATGAGTTTGCAGGGGTTTGGGTGAATTAAGTGAGGTAACAGGTATGAACACAGCTAGGGTAGTCTTACATTAGGCATCCCATAAAAATGTTTAAAAATGAGGAGCCACCAGGGTGGGGAAGTGAAATAAGATGTGAACAGGTGGACAGACGCAGGACTAGCTGACCCTGAAGTAAACTGGGGTCCCTGCATTCGTGTCTAGGCCAGGGAACCCTCTAAGGACCAAGCTTCAGACCATTTCAGCACATTCAACTTGCATTGGTTTCACTTTCTGTTAATTATTTTGGTTCTTGCCATTACTGTGTGCCCGGCACTGTAATAGGTGCCAGCAGTGACCAAACAAGACTATCAGACCACTTCTCTTCACCTCATTGTCCCTGCCTGTGGCCGAGCCACCCACCTGACCATTCTTAGAACTTGGAACTGGTGCTTCTGCCAGGCTCCAGCTACAACCCTGCAGCTGGGGTGGCCTTTGATTCTCTTCTTTTCTTGCTGGTTTCTAACTTATATTCATTTGTGGTCAAAGAATGTGGACTCTATGATTCTGAGTCATTGACATTGATGAAGGTTTGCTTTGTGGCTTGGTATTAGTCAGTTTCTACAAACCATTCCCTGTATTTGGAATGTTGTCTATTCTTTGGTACAGAATTCTATATATGTCGATTTCAGATCAAGCTTCTTAATTCTGTTAAGTGTCTTGGGGTGATATCCCGAAGTGCACACAATCTAGAATATTCTGGAGACTTTCATGCCAGAATATTTCATGCCTTTATTATATAAAGGCCCTCTTTATCGCTCCCATATTTGTCCCAACTCTGTTTTATCTGCTATTGTAGTTACTAACTTTCTTTTGATTAGTGTTTTCCTGGTATATATACCGCCTTATATTTAGCTTTTAGTTGTCATTAAATCTTACAACCAGCCTAAATTAGATTTTTAAAATCAAGCTTTATAATCTCTGTTAACTGTTAGATTAAGTTCATTTTGATTTGTTATGTTTACTAATTGACATTATTTTACCCACTTTATTTTGTGTTTTCTATATATTCTTCTATTGCTCTACTTTCTTTGTCTCTCCTCTGTAACCTTTAAGGCTTCTTTATTTTTCAACTTTAATGTTATCTTGTGATTATTATTCCATGTTTAAAGTTTTTACCCTCCAAAATCTACAAAGACTTTAGAGAGACTAGAATGCTTATGCCCCTGTCCCACCGTATTAAATCAGTCCTCCCTGGTGGCCTGGCGGTTAAGTCTCAGCACTGTTACCTCTACAGCCTGAGTTCGATCCCCCATCAGGGAGGTGACCCACAGGGCGCACAGACCTCTCCTGTCTCACCCACTGCTCCCCTCAGCAGTGCAGTTCAGTACATCTGCCTGGTCTGGTCCCTACTCTGTCTCTACTAGTGAGTCCTCTCACCCCCTGTACCTGTGGCAAAAAATAATGATAAAAATAAAAAAAATCAGTCCTTCCTTGTATTTAGTTCTCCCTAGTCACTGACTGGGTTTTCACCCACTAATCCTCCCTTTATCTCACGGCTTTCTGGTTTCAATTTTCTTTATTCTGAAGTATATTTGTTAATGTTTCCTTGTTGAGTATTTGTAACTGGAAACATTCATCCTGATTTGTCAAAAAAAATAAAAAGTGCAGCTCTCCAGCTCTTCTGCTGTGGTGTTGAAGTCTCTTTTCGCGCCACTTGTTCTTTGAATTTGGTCTTCTCACTTGCTTGATAAAAATAATTCCTTAACCCTCTGTTATTGTCAGGGCCAACTTAGTGGAGGATTATTGTAGTGTTTTCATCAGGAGAGCAAGGTGATCAGATTTACTCTTTCAGGCGTGACTGGCTCTGTGCGAAGCAGGCTCTGCAAGGGTCCAGGCCGGAGGCAAACAGCCACATACTCTTCTGCCATCTCAGGGAGAGGTGGCTTCGCCTGCTCACAGTGGTGGAGCTGGAAGGAAGTGCTGCATTTAGCAGTTGGTTTTAAGAAATAAGCTATAGGGATAGGGACCGGCCATGGAGGGGTGCAGGGAGAGGAAAGAAAATGGTACCCAGCTTTGTGGCTCCAGCAGCTGAGTCATATACTAAGAAACACAGGAAGGAATTGCTTTGGGAAGTGAGAGGACAGGCGCGTTTAGTTTCAGAGTGCTCAGTCTGAGGAATCCTAGTGTGCGCCTGGCGATTCCCACAGGCTGGGGGACGGGCCAGGCTGCAGCTGACATGTGGGATCTGAGCGGGCGCCTGGTGGGGCCCCGTGCCCAGCGGCTTGGCTGGGAATCAGTCATGGAAGTAGGTACTGGCCCGGCAGCGTTCAGGGGCTGGAAGACCTGCTGTCCAGGACAGCGCGCTGGTGAAACCAGTGTGGGGGCCTACAGATGGGAGGAGCCGAGAGTGCAGACTGGCCGGAGCAACAGGCTTAGGCCACATGAGCCCAGAAAGGAGTGCGGTCATCTGGGTTCGGTGGTTTGGAGACAGCAAGAAAGAGGAGCGAAACTATCGATTGACTTTAGCAAAAAAGAATATAAAGCGGTGGGTTGTTCTTTCCTTAAGCTTTCAGAGGTGAGGGGCGCGATCCCCAGCACAGCTGAAAATCCGTAGACAACTTCTGACTCCCTGAAACAGTCTGCTGTTAACCAGATGGTACACAGCTATTTACAGCATATTTTATGTTATCTATATTTTAGACTTTATTCTTGCGATTAAGTAATAAGCTAGAGAAAAAAAATTATTACGAGTCATAAAGAAAACACATTTATCCCACCACACGTACTTATCCATACTGTGTTATGGGAAAAGCCCGTGCATAAGTGACCCCCACAGTTCCAACTGATATTGCTCAGGGGTCAACTGTGTGTGAGGCTGACCCTGTTGAAATAGATGTGGCTGCCTGGAGAACAGGAGGGCAAGGTTGGTTGCAGCCACCAAGGAGCCCTAGGAGAGCTGTTTCATTTGCGGGTGGCACAGGAGCTCACATCAGATGAGGGAGGGAGCCTTGGGGTGGCACCAGTTTCCTTGAAGTGCACTTAGTGTCTGCTAAAGTCTTCTATTCTAACCACTGGGAAAATTCAATTTTTACAAAGCCGCCTGAGCCCAGCCCAGCCCTTTGCCGAAGCAAATGTGTTTACCCGTTGGGTGGAGTTGGGTGGAGTCGGCTTCAGAAGGCCCCTGGGACCCCTCTGCTGCTGGTCCACACCATGCAGACGATATCTCAGGAACAGAAGTAAAGTGGAAGCCCAGAATCCTTAAAATTTGTATTTGCCATTAAAAAAAGGCACTCAGCAGTCATGGTCACAGAGCAATGGCAGCTGCCGGACTTCCTTGCGCTGGTTCTGCAGTTGTGTGTTTTTGCTCCTAAAAAGAATGGAAACAGAACAGAGCTAAAAACAGAACAAATGCCTGTCCCTCCTTCACCTAGATTTACCTGTCGTTAACATTTTGCCTCATTTACATCCTCTCCCTGTAGGTAACACACACTACATATCATGCATAAACCATCTGGGAGGCACACACATACATGGTAAAACATGCCTGTTGGAGCTGTGACTGCTGCTTTGCTGAGAGTAAGCTGAAGACAGCACTCTTTCCTGAACATTTAGTGTGTTTTTCCTTTTAGAATTAGCACTTTCTCTTCCATAGTCATAACATAACCACCCAAACCCGAAAATGTAATACTGATGTAATGCTATTGTGTTATACACAGTGTATACTCGGATGTTGCCGTTTGTCCAAATGCTTCAGATTGCGAGGAGCATTTATTTGAAGTGTCTTTAAATAGGACGAGGTGCATACTGAGTTGGCGCCGGGGTTAGGCTCCCAGGCCCTGTTCATGCCTGCTTTCAGGTTGCCTTCTGCTGGCCCTCGCTTTCCTCTACTTCACCCGCTTTCCTACAGAAAAAAATAAAGCACCCCAATGAGTGGGTTAGGAGACCACTGATGGGCGGGGCTGGGTATACTGTAAAATAAAGTAACAAGTCACGGTAGATCTATTTCACAATGTGGGCAACAAATAGGATATGTTTTCATTTTCAAAGACCTCAAACCTGCTAGGTGCTTTCGTATTTTTTTAAAAAATTATTTATTTATGCCTACAGAACTGGGGTACAGGCCAGAGGTGTGTGTGTGTGCGGGGGGGGGGGGTAGTGAGACGATTCACCAGAGACAGAGTGGGGAGCAGAACAGGCCGACTGACGAAGCATACTGCTGAGGGGAGCAGCGGACGAGACGGGAGGGGTCTGTGCACCATGTGGGTCAGCTCCCCAGCAGGGAACTGAACTTGTGCTGCAGTGGCTGCAGAGAGTGTCATAGTGCTGAGCTTTAACCCTTTGCACCACCAGGTAGGGCCCTAGGTACACTCTTAAATGAGCCAGAGCTGGTTTGCAGTTAAGACCCTGTTAGTAATGTGCCTCCACCCTGGCTGGGGATAAAGCTCCTCAATTAAACTACAGATCAGACCATTGCCTGAGCACCAGGGGGCAGAGTCGGCCTAGCTGACTCGCTGGAGTGGGGCCGTGGCTCACAGCGCTGTAAGGCCTCAGGCCCAGGGTCTCCTGTTTGTGTTTTAATCATTTCGCTCCTGATGGAAACGTGCTCACTACTCTAACGTCAGTAATTAGCTTACCCTGATTTGTTCACATATTTAAACCTCTGGCCTTGGTGTTGCCCTTTTCCCAAGGTTTATAGACATTTGCTGTTTCTCTAATGAGAGCAAAAAGAAACCTACTGTCAGCCTCATCAAGATGTGTCTGCAAAATCCTGGGGGACCGGTTTGTTTCCCTTTTAGCATATTCCGCATTCACAAATAAAGTGTCTTTGTGTCATATCATGAATTTATATAAGACAGATTTGGCCTCAGAGTATTTATAAAACATTAATGGATTAAAGAACCAGGGGCTGTAGATAGGATGCTAATACCCAGTTATCACTTGGTAGGAACTGGTTCAGCAAATCGATTTAAATTGCCTGTCCAAGCCAAAAAAAGGTGGTTGCATAAGGACAAGGATTATAAAGAGATTATGGTCTATTTAAAATAAATCTGCAGTCTCTCTCCAACCTCATTAGCAATTAGCAAGAAAGTGTGAAGACAGGGATTCCTTTCTCTTCACTTGGTTCTCCACTGCCTCGGAAGAGGTTAGAACACAATTAGGCATTCTGTCCCTGCCACTAAAAGTCAACTGCCTTTGATGCTTGGCAGGCTGCCAGCCTCGGCTTTGCAGTACCTGCCTCTTGGAGAATGTGTTCAGCACACCGAGATGTCTGATGGCCTCAAGTCTGTAGGTCTGGGGTGTTTTCCGGGAGTCAATTATTTTTAAAAACTGCCTCTGCCATAATATCGGAGGATGGACCCTTTAGGTCTCTGAAATTCTGTTTTTGTTCCTGGCACGATCGACCACAGCACGTTTGAGATACACTCGTATTTTGAGACTCACATGCTGACAGTGCGTTGGGGCTCATTGTACAGGAATGTAACGTCTTAGGAAATGAGATCGGCGTTTGTGTTTACTTATTTGAGAAAGCCCAGCAGCTTCGAGACCTGTTATCATCCTCGCTAAATGGACAGAATCTCTTTTGGCATCACTTGGGCCAGTGTCTTGGTTGCTGTTCACCTGCGGCTTGTCGGCGAGTCCCAGGGAAGCCATCAGGCCTTGTCTTCATTATGCTCTGTCTTCTCTCCGTTGCTCTTCAAATTGGATATCAGGATTCATATAATCCCTACTGCCCATGTTTTATTTGCCCAAGCAAAACTCAGCATTGATAAAACTATCAGGTGGCTCACTTAGGATTGACTTTCTGTCACATCCCTGCAGAAGCCAGTTCAATGAATATTCGATTTGACAAAACCCTGTTTCTTGTAACTTTATGCTTGTGTAACTTTATGAGAATCCAGAGGCCAGAATAGAGAAAACCACCTAATATTAAATAAGAGCTAAATGTGGAGATTTAAAGAAACACTGTCAGCCTGATTAAAATAAAGGTCTGATTACAGCATTTAATCACTATAATTTAGTAGTAAACATCCTTTGGCTCCAGTCTTTCTCCTGAAAAGCTGCCATTTGTTTGTCAAGATACTTAAAATAATAAGGCTTTGTTTTCACAGACCTTGGGTTTATTCTAAACCACTTAGAAAGATGTCCGGGTGCTGTACGCTCGCACATAAAATACCCAGTTTCTCTTGGCCCTGGCCTGGTGACATCCCCAACGAGCTGGGCTTAGCTGCCGAGCTGAAATGCACTTGCTAATTGGCACAGCACCTGCAATCAATTAGGGAAGCTTCAATTATCCAAACCAAAGCCACCCACCCAAAGATTAATTTTCTGCTCTATTTCCTATCAAAAACATAGCATATTTAGCTCTGGGGCTAGTCCTTCAACGGAGTACATTTTAGACATATAAACGACGTCGTTTTCCTGTTAATTGTCCTTGTTCCTTCATTGCAGCAGCCTTCCCCTCATGGTATCACGCCCACCAGTTCTCTCCAAATTGTTCTTTTTCTGTTGTTTTGTTGCCTTTCCAAAATGCTGAGATCACCAAGAAAAGCTGTTAGTGGGGAGCTTTGCTTTTGAAGTATGACTTGCTTTCTTTTACCGAAAATCCCCAATCGTTGTGCTTTACGGGATTTAACTTCCGTAACCTGAAAGTGTTGCGTAACGGCATCTTCAAACTTCAGAACACTCGTGTAGGACATTTTCGGATTGTCCCATGGCATGCAGATTTTCACCCCTGCTGCCTGTCCCACTCCTCTGACTAAAGAGCCATTTTTCTGTTGTGTTTCTCAGAGAAGGAACAAGCCATAAACCGAGCAGGTATCGTTCAAGAAGACGTGCAGCCACCAGGTAAACTTAAGAGACCCCGGAACCTCACTCAGGCTTCAGGTTGTGCCTGTGTGTGCGCACTACAGTGGGAAGTAAGAAAATGCTTCTTAGCTTAGAGGGCACATTGCAGTTTTGCAGTTTATTTCACAACAGTTGCCGTTTTCCTGGGTGTCACCCCAAGACTTCATTTTAGTATTTTACTCGGAATATTGCTTGCAAATTTGCACGTTCCTCTTTTGTATTTGATAAGTGGGCATAAAAATGTCACAAGCGTGCAGTTAAGTATGAAGCCTGAATAGCTGTTTTGCAGACTTACTTAACAGGCACCCACTTAAACACGACCCTCATGGGAAAATACTGTTTACTTCTAAGCTGTTTTAATTGATGTGGGATTCTGTTTTGTACAAAAACCCAAAAGTTCCCTTTCTGGCTGAATGCTTAGTTACTTTAAGAGGATCCAAGTTGGCTGAGAATGAGAGGTTTCCAGCTTATTAACCAAAACTCCTGTAGTCAGTGGCCACATTCTTTTTTATTTATGCAACCAGCCCAGATACATATCTTCCTGTGGTGAGTTAATTTCTGAGCCATTTAAAAGCCTTGGCTTCCCAGCTGTTCCCTGCCAGGGTTCCAGTCGCCTGCCTGCACTACCCCAAACCACATGTAAATTGCAAAACTCAGGTCTGATGTCATTTTGTTTGTTTGGGGTTGAGGGACATGGTAGGAACTTTAAAAACACAAACCCTGTGTTTATTCATGTTTCTTTCCGTAGGGCTAAAAGTGTGGTCGGATCCATTTGGCAGGAAGTGAGAAGGCAATCACCAGCTCTGATTCTGAAAGTAGACATCTCATGCTTTGGATTCTGCAGCAAGTACAATAAATCACTGCGCTATAGAATGACGGCCGGGAAGAAAACTCCGTAAATAAGAGTACTGCCCACAAGGATTCATATTTCCCTTCCTAAGTCTCAAAAGAGCCCTGGAACAAATCACACGATTAGGGAGGTTTTCATGATTCCGTTTACTTTCTAAAAATGATGCTCTCTCACCCAGCTGTGTTTGGAGGAGACCTACTTGTTATTCAGCCTTTACTACTTAGCCAGTGGAGCTGTGGTTTGAATACAGGCAGCCTGCAGACTCGGGAAGATCAAGTCTGTTTTGCCTTCTTTCAAACAGAAAATTCCAGTGAAAACCCACCATGCTGAGCAGCCTCCTAGAGCTCTTTGAAAACATTAAACCTAATAAAACTCTTTGAGGACAAAGTACCTCGTACTTTTTAAGAAACAGTTCCACTGAACTATCTTGTTGAAGGTTGCTGCACATGGAAAGTAGGTATGGGGCAGATCAAGCTAAGAGGGGTGGTGGTAAGCAGTCAGAGTAGAGATCATGCTGGATTAATGTGTAGATTTAAATTTCTTTTTCCTTTACAATGGCATATAAGGTCATCTTTTGTATATCCTTTCTTATGGACTCATCAGTTGTACCAAGAAGCCTGTGACTATTTGTCTAGTCGGTGTGTGTGTGTGATGGTTGTCAGTTTGTATGCAAGTAAACAATGCAAACGTAAATGGCAAACTTGTTGAGACCAGTGTTGACACGATGTCGCCTCCTTATTGAGAACCTCACCGCCTATGCAGAGAGGCACGCGAGCATACTTTATTCCTCCAGATTATACACGTTCCCAGAGACATCTTCATTTTTAGCTGTCCCAAAGTGCCTTGCCCATTCCTGTGGGCTCTCTTTAGATGAACTTCCCAGTGACATTTTATTATTGTGAACCAGGAATTTAATAGACAAATGGCCCAGTCATTTAATGACTGTCCAAAAGAAACAAGATTGATAGTTGCAAAACCAGAGTCGTCACTTTGGGTTGGCATCCCCTAACATTTAGTGGACTTATTAACTGTCTAATAAAAGAAGTTGACTCATTTGGGGTACATTTTACCACAGTTTTCCTTGGAGGGGACACCAGGAAGTTGCGTAACTTCAAGGCAGACTTTCTGTAGGTGCTTAGTTGCGATTGCTTTGGGACTGAGGCAAGCCTGGGAACCATCTGCCTTGGAAAATGTCCAGGCGAAGAAAACGACCATGCCTGTCATAGTGGAGAACTTGGGGACCTCGCTTGCCTGTTCGGTGGGGGGAGCAGACTTCGATTTTCCTCCTGAGTGAACTGGCTTTGACCCTGCCCGTGGCTCACCTCTTAGTGAGCTAAAGGGGCTGTGTCTTGTTCAACTGTGTTCATATTTATAAAACTTATCACTTCTCTTGCAAGTGAAGGCAGACTCTGCCCAGTAGTGACAAAAAGCCAGGTTTGGGGATGCTGCTAATGAGGGAGGGCTGGCCACTCATGCCAGGGTGCCCATGAAGGCTGAAAAATACATTTAGGAAACGGCGAAAGTTTACTGGGCCGTTGCTTCTGATTTGTGGCTTCCAAGAGAAGCATAACATCTCCCAAATGTATTTGCTCACAGAACACTTTTCCCTGATTCTCTTCTAGCTCTAGAAGAGCAGCTTCCTGTGGGGAAAGCTTTCCCCAGCAGCTTCCGATGGGGAAACCTTCCTCTAGACAAGCACTCGTAAGTTTTTTGGTGCAGGACTGTTTTTCACTATTTAGAAATTTTTAAGAACTCCAGAGCATTTCTTCTTATGTGTGTTATACCTATAAATACTATGCTAGAAACAAACACATTTTTAAAATATTAATTTAAGAATATCAACCCATGTGATTAAATGGCATGTTTTTATATGGAAAACTCATTTTCTAAGAGAAGCAAAGCTAGCAAATTAATGTCTGGTTTAATAGAAGATAGCTAGGCTCTCATACCATTTGCATTAGTCTGTTCCTATTTCACAGGTCATGTGGCCTTGAGGAAATTCCATAATAGGAAAGTGAAAAAAAGACAAAAAAGCTTCAGTAGTAGTGTCAAAATAGTTGTGACCCCCTGAAAAGGTTTCAAAGACACCTGTACAGGGCCCTGGGCCGCAGCTTGAGCCGCTTTTTCTCTCTTGGATTTTGACCTTTCTGGTTGTATTAGTTCCCCCCAAAGAGTTGTTTATAGTGAACTACATTTTGGCTTGCCCACTTTGAGGAAGAGGATAGAGAGGAGAGGGAAGAAACTGACATAATTTCTTACGATAGATACAAAGTTTGGGATCCTTCATTTTTAGTGTCAGACAATACCCTCTTGGGAAGACTTGTGTTGACATTTTTTAAATCTCAGAACCAGAAATAGGTACACTGCTGAAGAGTGGGTATTTCTTCTGTGGATTGTCTAACTTGGCCTCCCTCTCTGTCTTGGCCAATGGGAAATTCCACCACATTTGCATTTGAGCTTTTTCAGAAGTCTCCAAGACCGCGAGACATGTGTTTGAGTGATTACACTCACCTCATCCTTCCTCCCTGTGTGTCTTTATTCTCCTTGCAACTTTCCCAGTTCAGTTTTCTCTTGTATGTTAGATTCTCCATTTTGAAGCAGGGCTTATCAGTGCCAGTCAATATTTAAAAAACAGTATTTGCTTAATGGCAAAACCACCCGTAAAACCACTGGTAATCTTAAAAGGAAAATGAGATACATTTACAAATAAGATTAATATGAGATACTAAACATGCTTTTAAAGTTGAGGATATTTACTGATGCTAGACATAGGCACCTCACCTTGACACAACAGAATACATTGTGAGTTCACCAAAAGACACACACCAGTATGTGCAGAGCAGTGTTAAGATATTCAGAGCTGCCCCGGAAGCTGCCATTACCCATTAACAATCCCACAATAAGTGGCCGGAGATCCTTTTCATACAATGGAGCCCCTTACATTAGGGAGATGAGCAGCAAAGCAGCAAATCTCATCCAGTGCTGAACAAGGTCAGTTGCAAGAGTGCGTGCTTTTATATACTTATATATATATTTTTTAGGGTGTATACTTTATAGATTTGATTTAGACAAGAATAAAAACAGGAAAACTAGACCATACACTTAAAAGTCAGCTTCATGGCTCCTCAGAAAGTGTGGCTGGTGGGGACTGGGCAGGGCCTCAGACAGCTTCAGGTCACTCAGGTTGTTGATCTGGGTGCAGGTGTTGGGTCTATTGGGTCTGAATATCCACTGAGCAATACAAAAGCATGTCCTTTTCTACATCGGTATCCTGCTTGAATAAAGCCCTTGAAAAGGTGCAACTGGATTGAGAAGAAAAGTTGTACCAGTTTGTAGAATCAGGAAAGTATCCAGAGAACCACACTCCTCGGAGGCAGGAGCCCAGGTATCCAGAGCGATGATGAAACACCTGACGGGTAGTGGGGAGTTGGGATGCTGTGTGTGAGGCCCCTAGCAAGTCTGAGCAGGGCTCAGACTAATGAAAACTGTCCGGGTTGATGGAGGCGCTGACATTCGAACAGACCATGAAAAATAGTCTGACAAGCAATGAATGACTGAGGTGCAGAGTCAGCAAAGCTAAGCTGATCCGAAGAATGGTTTGACTTGGATGGAAAGGTCCGGGGAGGGAGGAGACCCCTGAACCAGGGCTTGCCTGTGCTCTGGGCGCTGGCCCACATGAGCAGCCCCCCGGCCCCCAAATCTCATGGGGTTTCTATGGAGCAGTGTCTGCTGAATGAGTGGGGAAAGGTTGCTAGGAAGAATAGTTTAGGGCCGAGGGGTGGACACCCCCAAAAGTTAGACTGATAGGTTTTATTTAATTTAGAAGATGTGAAGTACTATAAATAGAAGTGGCCTGAAAAATTTTAAAACAGCCCAGCTCTCCCCAGAGCAGTGCTAACACAGGGAGGCAGGTGAAGTGAGCACAGTAGCAGCGTCGGCGTTTAGGAAGGTTAATGGCAGTTTGACGGAATTGTTCTTGACTTTGGAGTCTGATTTTTGTAAAACTGGGGCTCCCATTTAGTATTTTGGGCATTGTAATAGGGATGTCTAATGTGCTTTATAGATCACAATGCATTGGTATTGAGAAACCTGGAGGATGAATCTGTTCTCAGGTCCACGCCAGCCAGAGCTCAGAGATTCTGGCTACATGGCCACTGAGTCCCCTGCTCGAAGCTCTTGGGTTCTGACCCGTGGGAAGATGAAAGCACCGAGATTTCTCAGCTCCAGGAGGGGCTCCGTGGACATGCGACTCCAGGCTCCCGGGCTCCCTTCTGCAATTGATGAGGCCTGGAGGTAAATGTGTGTGGGAAGGTCTCCCCAACACCACGGAGCCTGCGTGTTCTCAAGGCACCTGCAGGGGGCGCCAGCTCTGCGCATCTTACTGGAGCTTGGCTTCTAGCCAGCAGCAAGTCACCTGCGGGGCACCCCCAGGTGGTGGGAAGCAGCAGGGTGCCTGCACTCCTTGGCTTCCACCGTGCAGATCTTCTGTCTGAACAAGGGAGAAACAAGAAGCCACTACTCCTCAAGAGAGTTGGGGGGCAGTGCAGTGCAGCCTCCTTCCTGGGGCCCCTCTGACCGCACATGATCAAAATAAACGGGAAAACATAGGATGCTTTGTCAAGACCTTTTCTTTTGTATTTGTTAATACTTTTTAGTTGTTTTTATTACGCTAACCTTGGTTTACAACCCTGGGTATGATTTAGAGGTAAAAACTCACACTTTCAGTTGTAAGTACCACATCACACCCGCCGCCAAATCACCCAGAGAGTCCACTTTGGGGTCACAAGTGACTGAAAACCAAACCCCAAATGTGGCAGGGGGATACCCTGGACTGTCACAGGGTTTCCCTCTCGTGTGGCATCTGCTACGCTGGCCGCCTCCTGCTGTATTCCCTGTCTTGGGGGACCCCGGTTTCCCCGGTTCTGCCTCCCTACTTTGGGTTACACCATGCCTGCTTAGGAGGCTCGCGTGCAAGATGGATGATCTCCTGGTTGCGGGGATTGGATCGGGGTGGGCATGTGACCCCACCGCGCATCCGGTCCGACTGCAGTTACTCTCGCCTGTTGGACTGGGCGCTCGGGCGAGAGGATGGCTTTTCACCAGAGCTGGAGCAGCCGCCGGCAGCCGCCTTGGCACCATGAGGATGGAGCTGGAGACTAACACCACGGAGAAAGAAGCATAAGGAGACAAAAGCCAGGTCCTGCTGATGCTGTGTTGCCTCCTGGTTTCACTTGTGTGACGCAAGAATTGCTCTGGATTAATCATCACGTTAATAATAAATGTCCTTCTTGTTCAGATTGGGTTTCTGATACTTGGAGCCTTTCCGTTTTCTCTTGGATTTTAGTTATTTCTGATCTGCACCAAGAAAAACACGAGTCTAAAAATTATGGCATTTATTTGAGGGCCTAGATTTATAGTGGGGAGCACATCTCAGGTCAGTCCAAATCGTATTCCATATCATGTCCACCTTAAGGATGTTAAATACAACACAACGTCTCTTCCTGACTTGGGGTGTTATAGTGTCAAAGGGTATGCTATATGGCGGGGGACGGGGGGGGGGGGCTGGAGTTAGGGGGTCAGGTGTTTACCTGCCCTGCTTGTAGGGTTTCTGGCTCCACCATTATCCTCTTCTCCCTGAGCCCTGTTTTGCAGTTCTAAAGAGCAGATTCTGGCTTCATTTTAAATTTGCTGCTTCCCGTTTGTGTGAGATTGGAAAGCAGTTAGCCAAAACTCTAGAATCTGGCATCAAATGAAAGTAAATGCCTCTAATGTGGATTTAGGGGGGCTGGTATGGATAAATTGCAAGGGCTTTGTGACATTTTGGCTGCCCCAAGGTTCTTTTGATATTTGCTTTCTGTTTACAGCTTTGTTCTAGATAGATGAGGTTTCCTGATGTTTTGCTGGTTGAAATTTTTTTAGTATAACAAGATTTTCACACTGGAGGATTTTGTGTATTGTGAGTAAATGAGTGAGGGCTGAAATGTTTTATGACTTAGCAAAGTCATTTTCTTCAAAGAAGGACCAGTAACCCACAACAGTATTTGAACCTCAGGGCAACCTTTAACTTTTTTTTCTTTTCTAAACAACCCTTTATTTTCAACCTCCAATCGCATACACTGACTTGTAAGAAGGAAAAAATACAGCAAACAAGCCTGTATCTGCAGGAATGGTCAACTTTGGCAGATGTGGAATCAATTTAGGCCAATGTGGATTGCCAGCTTCTGTATTTTCCTGCTAACTATATGCTCCTTGGAATACAACGGAACCACTTAAGCCTTGTAAATGTGGCGCTGGGATATTGGCTAAACACGTGTCCGGGGCACGCAACTCACTGCCCTTACCGGGTGACTCAGAGCCCAAAGGGGTCCCCGCCTTCTGAGAAACTCACATGAAGACAATTGCATATGGAAAAAAATCACCAATGTGTGTTTTTGAAATTGCTAAGAAAATGGGAGTTCTGGTGGTTTGTCTTGCGGAATACGCAAACAGCCTTTCCAATGACTATTCTTTAATTTTTATGTGTGCTCCCACTTGACGTGAGCTCATTGCAGACATAGCAAAATGCAAAACCATTATTTGGTTCTTGGAATCAAGAGAGCAGGCCTTGATTTGTGCTAGTCCCTGCCTCCTGGAAGTTAGGTCTGCAGCTTTGGGGAAGAAACTAGCGATGGACTGAGAATCTCCAAATACTCCTGTTTCTTCAATAATAACCAAGTGACTTCTGTGGTTTTCGGCACCCCAAAACTTTGCACCAGCTCTCAGGACGCACAGTGGTTTCAGGGATGAGGACAGTAATTGCAGTGAGGGGTGGGGTAGAACTGAGAACACGGTGCCCAGAGCCTATCTCATCTCTGCTCCCTGTCCCAGGAGCGGGAGGGACAGACGGAGGTGCTTGACCCTCCAGTGTTCAGATCACTAACACCAATGTGCAAACATAGTAAGCACTGGGCTGAACTGAGTCCCCTCGAAACCCACATATTGAAATCCCAAACCCAGGTCTTAAGAATGTGACAGGGTTCTAGGGGGGTGATTAAGATAAAATAGGGTCATTTGGAAGGGCTCTTATTCACTGTAACTGGCATCCTGATGAGATAAGAGCTCAGGACCCAGGAAGTTCCAGATGACCCTGGGAGACCCAGAAATAAGACAGCCAGCAAGGGGGTGACCACAGAGATGACCCTGCTGGTGCCCATGATCTGACTGGCTTCAGATCTGTGTGAAGGTGAATTTCTAGTGAAGCCCCAGCCAGTGACCCTTCGCTATGGCAGCCGCAGCTAAGACAGTGGCTGCTGTATGGTGGGATATCATTTCTTGTGAACATTTCTCTAGAACAAAATCTTTGCAGGATCGAGATCTCAGCTTGCGGCTGACTCCCCTGGCAGCGTCTCCCTGCCTATCTGCCCACATAGCTCACCTCCATGACCCTCCATTTCAGCCCAAATACTCACTTCCAGCCCTCAAAATAACCTGAGTGCCTCCTGCCCCCTCACCCCTTTGTGAGGAAGCTCCCCCCTTCTCTTATCACCTGTCTGAACACTACAGTTACTCTAAGACCTTCTTTAAAGACCCCTCACCCTCAAGGCTTCGCCAGTTAGGGAGGGGACTTCCCCCTTGACTTCTCAGCTCACACCACTCCTTTGGCATAGAGTGTCATGGCTGCCTTGGGCTGTGGTTTTACTAGCAGCCTCTGGCAGCTTCCTCTCAGGCTAAAATCCTGGCATCACTGTTCCTCTTCTCTGCTCATGCCTACCAGTCAATCTGACAGAAACCGATGGACTCTGCCATCCACAGTCCTCCAGATCAGAGATTTCTCACCCTGCCACTACTGTCAGCCAGCAGTGACAGCCCCTGACACGGTCCTGGCTTCGCACCTCCCACGTCAGGCAGGTTCAAACTTATAAGCAGGATTGATCCCCACCATTAGGTTACAGATGAGTTGACTTTGGGGGGATTCTTGGTAATCAGGTGAGCCCTTCAAGGGGCTATGTCCTTCCTGAAGAAAAGTCTCAAATACAAGCTCTCAGCTCCCACTGACCTTGAAGAGGCAAACAGCCATTTGTTAGCCCTCTGGGGAGGGCATCACATGGCAAGGACCTAAGTCCACAAGGACCCCAGGTGCTATCGCCAGCCAACGGTTGGCAAGAAGCGGGGAACCTCAGTCCAGCAACCACAAGGAAAGGAACTGTGCCAGGGAGTGTGGGAGAGGACCCTGAGCTTCAGATGTCATCACAGCCTCAACAGATGCCAGGCGAGTCTCTGAGCGGGACCCACTCATTTATACCTGGACTGCTGACCCAAGAGATGAGGGTGATGCCCTTCTGGGTGGTAACTGCTAAATGTGTGGGGCTTTGCTGCCCAGCATGGATGACTGATACATGTCACTTCCATCTTCTCTGTGCACACTGGCCCGACCCATCTTGTTGGGACACAAGATATATCATGGTGGCCTTCCACTCACAAGCCTCCGCTATCTCCTGTTAGTCTTACAATAAAAGTCAAAGGTCTAGTACATTCTCTATCCTCTGACCCATGACCTCTGACCTCAAGTCTTCTTCTCTCTGGTTCTCTCTCGTCCTGGCTCAGTGGCCCTGTAACTTCTCCAGAACGCACCTGGTTGCTGCCTCATCAACCGTGTTCTCTCCACCTTAATTATCCTCTGCCTGGCCCTCCCTGGTGGCGCAGTGGGTTAAAGCACTGCACTGAGAAGCTAAAGCCACTTCCGCATGAGTTCGATCCCCGCCTGCCCCGGAGGTGACCACATGGTGCGGCAGACCTCTCCTGACCCGCCCGCTGCTCCCCTCAGCAGTGTACTTCGTCGATCTGCCTGTTCTGCCCCCCACTCTGTCTCTGGTGAAGCCTCTCGCCGTCCCTGGCCTCTGTATGAACAAATAAATAAATCTTAAAAAAAAAAAAAAAAAGAAAATTATCCTCTGCCAGATTCCCCCATGTGCCTCCTTCAATCTTTTCTCAAAAGAAACTCCCCTAATCTCTACCCCTAAATTTCTACCCCTCTGCACTGACCCTGGCAACCCGAGCCCCCATGAGCCTCCTCTGTGTGGCTTCCCTATTCGTTGCGATTATCTTTCCCTGCCTGTATATGCTGAATCCATACCACGAAAGCGGGGACCATGTCCGCGTCCCCCAGGCGCCCTGTCATCAATCCTTGCTGAAAGGTCACATCTCTCTTGTGTCTTTCAGCAGTGACTCGCTGTCTGTGTCGTCCCGCTGACACCTCCTCCACCTGCCCTAGGGGTCACCCACAGAGAAGTTCCAACCCACATGGGCTGAAGATTGACATTCACTGCTGGGGGCTGCAGGCATCTTGCCTTTTTATGCTGTTGCACTTATGAACATACAACTTAGCTCCCACAGAAGCATCCCAGGTCTCAGTGCACGCTTGGAGCAGGTGGGGCTTGCCCGGGAGTGAACCCCAGCAGTGGCCCCTGACCAGTGAGGAATGAATGAACACCCCCAGCTTGCTCACCCTGCATGTGACTGAGCCCCAGTTGAGCACAGCAGCATCCTACTCACTAGCACCCCTTAACTGGCTTCCCTTCCTGTCCCACATCCCCCTTCTCACATCACTCCCCGAACAAGTGACAGACCCTAAATGCTTGTTTCAGGGTCTGCCCGGAGCCGCAGGGCTCAGAGGAAGCCGGCCTTCCAGTGTGAAGTGCTACGGCGACAAGCCTTACTCTTCTAAGCAAGTTTTGGGATTGACTAATTGATGGAACCTTAAACATTTGCCCCTGAGAAAGATCACAGGATTCACCCCCTTTAGAAATTTTGAACCTGAGGACTAGAGAAAACTTTTAGCCCTAGGTCCTGGCTAGTCTTCCTGGGGAGGACTACGATGGGATGCCATCCAGGAAATCATGAGATCTAAGAGGTGCTCTCGGTATTTTGATAGCCAGAGAGAAATCACCCATTTACCCACATGGGCTGAACATTAACATTCACTGCGGGGAGATACAGGCATCATGCCTTTTTATGCTGTTGCATTTACGAACATACAACCAGGCTTTACACAGAGGGAGACGACTCATTCATTCATCGAGGACAATGGCATTTAAAGAAATTTTTCTACGTAGAGGTTCGAGTGTGGGCACCGTTGGAAACCTCTGAATCACCCCACTCTCTGTTAGACAGGAGGCACCTGAGGGTTGGGAAGGGAAAGGGCTTCCTGCAGGGCCCTCAGCTGGGGTGAAAGTTCGGGACGGAAACGTGGACATCTGAGGTCCAGTGTCCTACACCTCACTTCACGCAGGAAGGGCATGTCTT